CCTATGCGTACAAACAACCGGACGAGCCCCTCTTGCTACGAACCCCTCCTGATCACCCTTGGTACCGAGTGGGCGTAGATCTTTTTTGTTATGCTGGAGCCACGTACCTTGCTGTTTTTGATGCCTATTCCAATTTTCCAGAAGTTGAAAAACTCGAGGAGACATCGGCAACTGCGGTTATCGACAAGCTGGCAGCCATCTTTGCAAGGTATGGAATACCGATGGAAGTCTGCACAGACAACGGCCCCCAGTTCGCAAGTCACCAATTCGCCACGTTCTCCAGACGGTACGATTTCAAACATATAACTTCGAGCCCAATGTTTCCACGTTCCAACGGGCTAGCAGAAAAGGGTGTCCAAATTATAAAGCGGCTGCTTAAGAAGACTGGGACCACACATGAAGATTTTTGGCTTGGGTTACTTGGTTACCGCTCTGCTCCCTTGCAGGATGGCCGGTCGCCGGCGGAACTTCTGCAGGGCAGGCCTCTACGCACTAGGATCCCCGACTTCAACCTGCAGCCCAAGAGTCCTGTAAAAAAGCGCCAGCAGACGTCGTCTGGACGACCGCTGAGACCACTCCTACCGGGAGACGTGGTTCGCGTGAAAGGCCAGGCTTGGTCTCAAAAGGCTAAGGTATTGGGAAAAGTAGCCCCGAGGTCCTACAACGTCGCAACAGGAGAGGGGAGAACGCTGCGGCGTAACCGCCAACAGCTGCTGGCAACCTCGGAGCCATTTACGTACTCCAGCGACAGTGACACTGACGTCGGAGATGATGACGCAGAAGAGCCTCCACATCAGAGCCCGCCTCGCGTGACTTCGCCGGCACCTAGAAGATCCGCGCGCATTAGGGAGGAACCAAGACGTTTAGCATACGGCCCCAACTTTGCTCAAATAGTTTAGCGGCTAGTTCCGGCGGAATACTGTTGAATTTGTATTTTTTCTATCGCATTGCACTTCTTTTTTACGCCTTGTTAAAAAAAAAGGATGGGAGATGTATCGTGCTGGGTCATGCTGACCATGACTCATGATGCGCACTCCGGTGCGCACCGACCGATTATGCCTAATATAAGCGGCGACAATAAACCCGGCAAGGCATTGCTGCATCCTGCTTCATCGGTGACCGTCTCAGTCTTTGATCAGCCTACCTGGGTCTGATACATTGCCTGCGATTTGACCCGCTTGAAATTTTCAAGGTTTTCTGCTGTAGAGGAATCGCGAAGCAACGCCCAAGCTTTGTTCTGAGTGGTCCGTGCTTTCCTGCATGCGTCGTTCCACCATGGGACTCGCCGTTTAGAAGACATGCCGCTCGTTTTGGCAATACATTTAGATGCGGCATCAAGTATAAAAGCTGTAAAATACGTGACAGCGTCATCTATGGTCAGGGCAGACAGCTCAGTCCATGTCATGTGTGTAAGAGCTCTATACCCTTCCCAATCAGCTGAGTCAATCTTCCATCGAGGAACCTGCGGGGGTAGTTGTTCTTTGTTCGGCGCACTCAGGATGATTGGGAAGTGGTCACTACCATAAGCGTTTTTAAGAACTTTCCACTTAAAAACAGGTAAAAGAGACGGTGATGAAATGCTAAGATCTATGGAGGAGTACGTGTTGTTTGCAAAGCTAAAATACGTAGGCTCCTTTATATTTAAAAGACATAAACTAGAAGAGAAAAGGAGCTGCTCAATGAGACGTCCTCGCGCATCACAGTGAGCATCGCCCCACAGGACATTGTGTGCATTAAAATCACCTAGAACCAGAAACGGCTCTGGGAGTTCATCTAATAATGATTCTAGATCCCGTCTGTGTAGCTGTTGATGCGGTGGTATGTACACAGAACATATGGTAATGAGTTTGTTAAAAAGTACAGCTCGAATGGCCACTGCCTCAAGGGCTGTTTGGAGCTTCAAATGCTGGCATGCTATACTACGATCAGCTATAATGGCTACACCGCCAGATGGTACGACAGCATCCTTCCGGTCTTTTCGGAAAATAATATATTGCCGTAGGCAGTCCTTGTGCTTAGGAGTTAAGTGCGTTTCTTGCACACATAGCACTTTCGCGTTAAAATTACTCAGAATTTCTTGGACGTCATCTAAATTTCTAAGTATTCCTCTTACGTTCCATAGTAGAAAAAAAGGGAAAAGGTGCTGTGTGCAGAAAAGACGGAGATTAGCTCATTTTACAGGGCCTTTGTCAGGCCCTGTAATCGGCGTTTTGTCTTTTTTGGGGCGGTCGAGAGAAGCTCGCCGCTCCTTCGGCGCTCCCTGCGCCGTATGGCATGAACTGGTGTCCATAGCCTCTTCCGAGGCACTGGACGCCCGCTCTACAGAGCGATCTGTGCGTCGCTTAGACTTCGCCTCGATCGACGAAGTCTTTGTCCCCACCGAGCTGGGGGTCGATAAAGCCCCCTTGGCCTCGTGATTGCCCTGGCTGCCGTTAGAGCTTGTCGAGGTCGCTGGTGTGGACTGGCTGAACGTGAGCAGGGCAGCGCTAGCTGCTTCGCCGTAGGGGCTTGTGGCATTGGCCTCGGCACGCTAGGCGAAGTCCGGGCAAATGCCAAGGGCCTTTGTGGTGCCGCCCCTCGTTGCACCACATCGGCAAAAGGTGTTTTAGTGCCAATGTTAGTGAGACCCGTTGTCTTGCTTCCTTGAATGTGATATTTTCCTTTACTTTATAGTTATTATTTCTTTTTCTTTTTTCCAGGCTGGGCACGCTCTGAAGTATGCGGGGTGACTACCTTCGCAGTTAGCACAGAGGATCTCATCATGACTACATTCATCAGCACTGTGGCCTGTTGTGCCACACTTAACACAGATCAGCTGCCCTCGGCAGCTCTGGGATGCATGACCAAATCGCTGGCATTTGAAGCAACGTCTCGGGTTCGGAATGAAGGGTCGGACATGGAGTTTTATATAGCCAGTTTCGAGAGTCTCAGGTAAAGTGGTTGAGTTGAAGGTGAGTATTAAGTGCTTTGTTGCTATTTCGTTGTTGTTTCGTCTGATTATGATGCGCTGGACATGTATTACACCTTGGTCCTTCCATCCATCAAGAAGCTCTTCTTCACTCAGTGTCATTAAATCTTCATCCGATACCACGCCCTTCACTGTATTCATTGTACGGTGTGCACTCACAGAGACGGGGATGTTACCAAAGGCTACGAGGTGCGAGAGTTTATTGTACTGTTCCTTGTCTTTTAATTCGAGAAGCAGATCTCCACTTGCCATCTTCGTGGCCTTATAACCGGTTCCAATGGTTTCTCTCAAGCACTTGGCCACAAGGAATGGTGAGATTGCTCTAGCTTTTATAGATGATTGTTCGCAGTGGAGGACATCGTATTTTGGGAAAGTTTCTCTGTTTTTTGACCAAAGTAGTGAAGTTGCATCGGTGCGTACCCTTTTCGAGGCACGATCAGTTAGAGAGGGGGTCGAGGATCCCATGGGAAAATGTGTGTTTTTCGGTAACGGCGCCTACCGCCCACCACGGAGTCCAACAAGGGGACGTGGCAGAGCATGTGGGCATGCCTGCGCAACGCCAGCAGTACGCAGTTACTATAAACCAATATGGTTTACCCTAGTTTGGATAGCCACACAAGGTTAACCCTTGCCGCCAGGAAAAATTGGAAGCAAAATGAAGTGAGAAGAAGACAGGAAAAATGTAAAGTGAGAACAAAAGACGAAGATATAGGGAGAGAGAGATAAGAAAAGGCGACTGCCGATTTCCCCTGGGTGGGTCAGCCCAGAGGTGCCGTCTACGTGAAGCCAGGGCCAAAGGGGTGTGTTGCCTCGGCCGGGGGGCCTTAAAGGTCCAATCACCCAGCACTGGCTCAACCCCCAGGATCCCCTTTTCCCCGGACACGGCAAAGCCACGCACGGCTAGGCGTGGGAGGGAGCCGAGACTCCCCCGTTAGCTCGGGTCCGTGGTGTCGCTACACACCAAACGCCTACTTGCGCAGGCGCCCCTGCGGGGGTTTTGTATTAGTGCCTTCTTGATTATTTCCTTGGAGATTTTACTATCTATATCTAGAAGGCGGTCGATTTTGTTAGGAAAGGTGGGAATCTAAAAGGATGTGTTTGACCGTCTATAAATCGCTCGAATCCTTGGAGTCCCTTCAGTATAAGTACGAAAATTGTGCAGTGTACCCCGAAGATCTTGCGAACTAAACAGTCTATTGCGTTCTATACGTTGATATAATTAGAAATGATAAACCTTGTTGTCTTTGAGCATAACGTATTTCGAAAATAGTTTTTTCAAGCAGTTTATAATAGTTCGTTCGTGTTGTGGTCCCTCACACGAGTGTGCGATAAAAGAGTCGTAAGTAGAAAAGAGAGTAAAAAATATTTCTCAACTGCAGTTGTATGAAAGAATGTAACTTGTATAGATATCCAATACCTTTACTGAATTCCTTTATTACTTTCGCTATAGGTTTATTCCAAGGCAGGTCTTCTTTAAACCACACCTAGGCGTTTCTGAGACAAACTGTTCTATTATATGGCCCTTAAGCAATGATCATTGTACAAGTTTCTGGCTAATTCACAGGTGTAAACAGCCTGAAGTCATCATAATCGCATGTTCTGATGCTTTACCGCAATGTTTTTTTTTCTTCAATAACTTTCTAGTTACTATTCGAAATGATGTCTTCAACCTTCTTAAAACGTATGCCGCTACAGAAAAAATAGCTCTGAAGACAACGAGCAAATAGCGCCCTCTACAGATTTTTAAAGAATATTGGACACATTTTTTGAAACACCGTGTATATTGCGGTTTATTAAAGACTATTTCATGACTCCTAAATGCGAATACTAATCGACAAGCTTTTTGCTGCGTCATTAGTGTAGACGGCGCATGATTCAGCAGGACAGCCTTCAGTCCGATTCTAGTTGAACAGTTAGGTTCGAGAAAGTTCTGGAGTAAAATTTTGTCAATCAATATTTCTTCTCTAACAATAACTTAAACGGTTTAAAAGAACCGTGTAATGTGGTTGAAGCTATGTTTAAGTTCTTACCCACATTGATGCAGCCTAGGTAAAAAGCTGCAGCCTTTTGCAGGGCGTTCTGGCCTCGGTAAGATACAATCGAATGGTTCAGCTTGTCTGAAAAAAAAATAATACACTAAGTGAATATCATGTTAAACCGGGTGGTTTATTGTATTATGAAAACATAAAATGTTAAGCAGTTCGAAGAAATTACAAGATCTCATATTGGTGCTACGAATATTGTACTAACGACAAAGTTATTTTTCATTCGGCAGTAGCAGAAGACCCAGATAGGACTGAGGTGAACTTCTCCGAAAACAAACAGCACGATGCAAGTTCTGTTCTAGGGGCCCAAGTTTAGGCATGTACCTACCCTAATATTGTACGGTAGCTTAAAGGCAGCTCAGAAAACGGGTAAATTCTTTGCGCCACTGTCATTTCTGATCCTGTATTTCAAATTTGTGGTTGCCAACGACGCCTACGAACGTGACACTATGTATGTAGAGTGCATGTAGTACTTCTCTGGCAATATTTTATTGTGATAGCAATTCTATGGACACTCTCGGCTGTATTATTTCGCCACTAGCTTCGGCATGGGAATTGACGTAGCCGTCGGCCTCGATGTCATGCACCGTATGTGCATACGTATATTATATGAAAACGCAGGAAAGAAGAAAGTGTAGAAAAAGAATCCGGCGTGCGGAAGCGAATGTGGGACCTCCGCGTTGTGAATGCGAGGCGTTAACCACTGAGCCACTGAGGAATACCACCTGCCGCTCTCAAACGGCAAGCTATTTATATCTACCACTTACCGCTGTTGGCGGACATCTCGGGGGGAACTATCGTGTTTTCAGCATTATCAGCAATATGAGGCACCGAGCGCCTGGCAGCTTTCATCTCTCTTGCGTACTTTGCCCCGCGAAAAGAAAGAGGAGTGGACGACCTGTAGAGTGCCCTTATTTTCCGTTGGGGAGAATCATACGTCTTGGTTGGCGTCGGGCGTGCACTGGAACAATTTTGTTGCAGTTATGGGGCGCATGAAGGTCACTGTGATCGTTGCACAGCCTCCGTTTGCGAAAAGGGTGCGCATTTGAGACACAGAGAAGTAACAACTGAGACGCTTATTCAAGTTCATCTGCACCTGTGAGTACGTTTTGTGCGTCATTTGTGCATGAGAGACGCGGGGAACGTTTCAATCTGCTTGCTATTCTGCGCGTGGCCTTCCCATTTGTTGCTACCGCGTTCATTGCTTCACCTTGGCGGCAAAGTTGTGACTCTTTTATTCACCTTCCTTACTTTACTTCGAGCTTTCTTTATCAAGCACAAAGACAATTCAACTGTGCAATCACTGCTGTTTGTTATGTAACCAGAATTGTACAAAAGTGCTACAAGGAAAATTGATTACGTGTAATCGCTGAAATTTTACCAGCGTCTCCTCTATTTCTTTCAGTGCCTTCTGAATGCAAAAAAAATAATACACTAAACACTGGTCCCATATCCATCCATGTTCATCACCCTTAGCCGATCATACATCCTATGGGACATTATTGCTAATCTATCGTCGACTGCAGCCTTCCCAGCTCCTATGTTATCTGCCCTTTGCCCTTCTCGGTACTATTGCAAATAATTGAATCATGCCTTTCACACAGATCCATTAGAACTCTGCCTGTTGCGTCAGTATATATTTCCATATCTTCAATGTGTGCATTCATATCTACTAATATATATACCTCCAACTCTTCTTCTAGTTCTTCAATGTCATTTTCTATGCACTGCATCATTTCTTGGGTTTCCCCTCTGGCTCTTGCCCCTGTGCACAAGTATACAATGCTCAGGGGCATCATCTGCCCTGCCACTTTATCTTTTAGCCCTAAATGTTCCCTGCACTCATGCTTGACCCTTTGAAAGTCTGTATTTTTATGAATGAATGCCTCAATACCACCCCCTTTCTGTTGCCTTCTGTTTTATTACAATATTTCCATGCGTAGTATTATATTGCTAAGTAGCTGTTCCTCGTCCCTAAGATGTGTTTCTACAAACCCGAATGGCATCAGCTTCTCCTCTCTTAGATGTTAATCTATCTCGTTCCACTTCAACCTATTCCTGCCACCCTGTATGGTAATTATTGTCCTTTACATCTGAATTTGCTTGGCCCTTGTGCCTACGTCAATTTTTCTCCTGGACTCTGCGTGTATTAGATATTGTTGCCACTTTGGAATCGTATCTGCCTATACCGCTGTCAAAGAGTTCCCTGGTTGTTTTCGGCGCAACTAAATATCCTGTACCACAACGGACCCGCGTGCCCCCCAAGAAAGCTACTGCGCGTCTTGCAAATCACCAACCCACCTCATGACCTAGCCTCCTATCGAAGTGAATTCTGTCTCGTTGAAAACCACCCCACCTATGCCCTTCTCTGTTTATTTCCATTGCCTTGAAGCCTTTCTCTTGACTCATCGGTCATATCTCGTTGTTTGTGTCGACAACCGCTCTTTGCAGGTTGCCGTCCCGCACCGGTACCTCCGGTATCGTGCATATAACTACCTGTACCTGAGTGGAAATGGCACGGTTGTCATCGACTCCTTTTGCCAGTGTGGTCGCTAGTCCTGCCGAATATTCATTTAAAACATTGTTTAGACCACCCGCAAATATTACGACGCCTCGTCCATTAGGTTTAGTTCTGAGTTTTGCGCTCGCTTGCCTCATGACTGCTTGCAGTTTATGTCCGGGGAACCTCCTTACTGTAACCCTCTTGCCGCCTCTAACTTTCTCTTTCTTTGCTTCTGCGCATCGATTTAAATTCTAGTCTCCAGTGACTATTACGCGCTCCGACTTTTATGCTAGATTGTCTCACACTTGGATGTTACTTGCGCTTGTAGTGCCAGCTGCTTTCCTATAGCGTACAGCGCCACCCTTGCATGCATTACCGAGTGGCGGCGGCGGCGGCGGCGGAAAGCGTGACGGCAGACTAGCCAGTATATTGTAGGGACTCTACGCCTTTTACCTGCGCTCTCTCAGAACGTTCACGCGCTCTGCACGTCCTGTTGCCTGGTCGCTTTGCACGTGCAGCATCACATGATCTTGCTCCGAAGGCTTAAAAAGATTGTAAAACCGTTTTCACGGTATGAATCTCACCCGAACCGAGAACGATTCATAAAAACCTTTGCGGGACCAAGCTCAATTTCTTTTATCGAGTGATACCTGCATGTTGATGCTGAAAAGCCGCCTTTCTAAGGCAATAAATCTGAGACGAATTATATCTGTATGTTGCCGGTAGAACATGCATTTGCTGCGGCAGTCGTGCCTTCTCGGAGCTGTCAACAAACCACCACCACGCTCTAGCGTTCGTTTGTAACAGCGTTCCGATTTCAACTGCTTGGATGCCAACTTGGTCGCGTAGTTTTAATTTATTAAGTTAGTGTTAAGAGCCTAAACCCACGCCTGCCCTGTTGACTCCCTGGCACCATTGCAATGCGCAGTGTTCAGTTTTGTAAGAGTTTCACGTTTGCCAAAGTTTTCAAAATCTGTTGTGAACAACATCGTATCGTAAGTTTTGTGCCACCTTGGATTTTTTGTTGTTTCTTTGAACGCAGATTGATGAAGCGTTTATGCCCACTTTGACCATACGTGTCTCCCGCAGCGCATGTTTCATTTCGAGTAATATGCATTCCATTGATCACGCAGCGTGTTCACCGTTTCGAATGACACTTTGGTTGTATTGGCAGCTCGCTGGGTCTTCTTCATGTTATATACGCCAATATTTGCTCCTTATAACCGTGAGTAATTTCATGACACCATTGAAAATTGTATTGCCGCCTCAGTCCTTTGCTCAGCCCATGTTCACAGCGGCAGCCTGAGCCACGGGTATATCGCCCGTGGCTCAGGCGCATGCAAAGTTATATTGTTTTGTGTGCCAAAACCATATTATCATTAGGAAGCACGCCGTGGTGTGAGACTCTAAATTAATTCCGGCTTTTGAGTCTTTTTAGGCGCACCTAAATTTATTGGAAGGGTACGTTGTGACTACAACAACGGACAGAGGGTGCACACACACCGAGCACCACTTCTATTTAGGTTGAGTGTCATCCAACCGCACGCTTGATATATGATAACCAATACGCCCCGTCTGCCATTCAAGTCAAGACAAGTCAAGGTTTATTCACGACATCCACGGAGTACAATGTTGAAGGCCACCCTAGCAAGAAAGCTGTAAGCATACAGCTTGAGGAGGTTAGAGAACCGAAACCTGGTAACAGCAGCAGTGCACACATGCGCCGTATACAGAAAACGTGATGCACCTAAATTTAAGCACAGTGAACTGCATTTCGCTTCCATGAAAACACAGCTGGTGTATGCGGGAATTAAAACTCACGACTTCGATCTTTGCATCGCAATACCTAAGCCTGTTAACTTGTCAGTGGGTTTTGCTTACAATACCTGTACGTATAAACGCTAAGAGCAAACATGCAGCATAAATCTGTTGACACTGAGTGGTGCCAAGAAGTCTACAGTCACCTGAGGTGACAACAACATTTTCAAGGGGTCCGTACTCACGATGCGGTATTTTAACAGTGGTGTGTTAAGCTAGCAAGTTCCGCCGCTTTCAGATTACAAATGATTGTTTCGAAAAGCCGGTGCCCAATAGCGATATATACAGCGGTTGTCTATTTCCTGTCGCTTGAGTTAACAAACGCACTTTTTTTTCTAATGATTCCGGATGTCACGTTTCTCTCTGTAAAAGTTCATAATATTGTGCTCGACAAAAAAAAATCTTCAAAGTGACAAGACCACGGACGTATTGACAAACTGCCATATTCTACTTTGACGCCATTCCTCCTCGCACTGCTGACTTTTGAAGCTTTAGAACTTTGTTTTGGGACGTTAAACCCCACATATCAATCAATCAAGCTTTAGAACTTTACGGGCAGTTTCCAGCCCTTCGTCATTTTGAACTTCTGTGGCTACACAAAATACATCAGGAGTGTGTGCCTGCTTTCCAGGATGACGAACTATTGGCACCCATACCGTGCAAAATGCGAAAGAAAAGCCCCAAGGAACACGTTTTCCGCGTGTGCAATGGGAAAACTAAGCAGACGTGGCTCGTTCCAGCGACCGGAGCTTAGCCCTCTCTCCGCTAGGGCGGTGATCGGCGCTGCGCAAACTTTGTCTCGACCGCAGTGGCTCGACCGGATTGCGCCTGCTTTGCGGTGAAGCCGGTGCGGTTCTTGAGAAGCGAAGCGACCATGCTTTTTGTACAAGCGATCGTACAAGTAATAAACCTCGCCCCATACACAATTCGGTTCCCAGTTTAAAGAGGACGGTTTTTTATCGCAGGTATAGCACATTGCGTATTTTCTCTTAGGCTTAAATGTACGATGTGTCGTCCTTCGTCTCCCGGCTCTTTCGGTACGATCCTTCTGTCGGAAGGCTATACTGGAATAAAGTACTACCGAACATATGCAGTCCTTTTATCACGCAGAGAAAAAAAATCCGGAAAATGGACTGCACTAGGAATTAAAATTTCAGAAGAAATTTGGCGCAGTGGGCTAACGTTTGGAGCCAAAAAAGATATAAAGTGATAAGCGGGCATTGTGTCACCAAGAGACAACAAGGAAGTGACGTTTTATTCAGCACCTGCTCAGAGAAGTAAAGAATTGTCATAGGCGCTAACTTGGTGCTCTGATTCTCCCGTATGGTTGCAGTAGAAAAATTGATAGAACGTTTCTTAATTTATCTGCAGGAAAAACACCAAGAAGCACAGTTACAACTGAGAAGCGCATAAGGGTGGAATAATAGCGAGGTAATTTCTGTGGCCCATGAAAGCAGCGCTATTGGTAACACATAAATGTTATAATATCGGTTCTCTAAGATTACCCGACTCGCCACCTTCTTTTCTTTGCAGGTCAATAACCAATCAAAACTTTCGAACATCGCAAGATGTCCAGCCTTACATGATATATTCGTTACCCATTATACGGCGCCTAACTATCAATTGATCAAAAAAAGTCGTATGAGCTGCGGAAATACTTTTTGTTCCGCTGTATCGCATAGTTGTGGCAGTGACAACATGGATTGAAAGTTTCGCTCACGTACGGGGCGATGTTTACTACTAGTACGATCGCTTGCAGAAAAGATACAGTCGCTTCGTTTCTAGAGAACGGCGCCGACTTCTCAATTTGCGAGCTTCACCACAAAGCAAACGCTGTTCAATCGAGCCATCACATTCTAGCATGACTACGTGGCGAAGGCCCCGCCTACAGCTATCATTGCGCCCGCGCGCTAATTTCCAAAGCGTCCGGGAGAGGCACTCAGCGTAGCGCCGGTCACACGGTGTGGTGTTCAAGGTAGGTGCGGTGTTCAAGGTGCGGTGTTCAAGGACGGCTCTGTACATAATGCGGGGGAGCTGATCAAAAGATGGAACATGTTCCGATTGAATGTGGAGATGTCCATCCAGGTATACGTGTGGGTAAAAGCCTACATGAGGCTTTCGTTTTAGGAACAACCGTGAAAAGCTGAACGCGTCTGCGAGAGAAGCATGTAAGAGACGGTTAGAGTATTGGTTGCAGAGAAGTGGATACAAAGTGCAGAAATCGAGGGAAAACGGCGTCATTTTGCCTAAAGAGGTAGAGAGTTGGACCATCAATTTACAATTTACATTTTTCTTTTCTGTAATAAGATCTGTTTATTCTAAGTAAAAGGGCATTAGGCCAACGTCAAAAGGAAGTTCTTGTTTTTTTTTCTTGCGAGCCTGATGGCACACATTTAACCCCACCGTTATCAAAGGGACGCTCTTAGCATCCATCCACCCAATAAGATCCTTCCACCTCCTTGCGGGGTGGAGACAACAGTGTCGTCTGCACGGAGTATAACGAATGAGAGGAGAGGGAATACTTAGTCGGCGCACAACGGGAAAAAAGTGTGGAGAAAATGACGTCATGGCGGCAATATTCGCTGGTCATTTTGGCAGCATTGCTATGGTTACGTGCTGTGCATTATAGCTGTAGTAGCTGGTCTCGCAGTGAGCGGCGGCGGCATGTGACGGCATGTGAGCCTTCGTATGGCTAGTGTTGAAGAAAGGTGGATAATATCGATGCTTTTTTGCCTCGTTGTTAGCTACACAGTGCTCTCACGGTGGTTATTGTACTCCTATCAACCTTTACAAAACCTGTTGTCAGCCTCAATATTGTAGAGAACTATTGATGTGCCGTTTGGCTGAAAAAGTACTTGAAGTGCTCAGCGTAATTTTGTTCGGACACAATGACAAAACGGAACCACAAAGAACGCCTTGCAGGTAAGTTAAAGTTGCGCAGTGTTAGACGATGGACGAAACATTTGAGCTGAGAACTTCACATGCGCATATGCATTTTTATGTTCAATATCCACACAGTAACAGCTTGCATGTGCGTATTAAAACACCCTTTCTTCTCCCCTTGCTATGCTCGACATCGGGCATTATAGCAACGAGTTCGAGTGTCCCTTTACCATGCACGATGTCACAGCGGTTTCACATTGCTCAAGGCGGTTACCTTTTACGTGCAACACGGGCACAGTGACAGCGCGCCACATCGGCCGCGTGAGCGACGGAACGCAACCACAGAAGGCTGCGCACAGGCGATCGTTTTGTCTGTGGAGTGCGTGAATATAAGTATGAAAACATTGACTCCGCACTCACCGTAATCAGTGCATCTAGAACGCATTCTCTTGTGCTTGCTTTTTTGTCGGTGAGCTGCTACTCGCTGCTTAATACACAGACAAAATGATTTCGTCGAAGTCACCGACGGTAACGCTCTGAAACAGTGTTGAGGCCCGTTCCGTTATTTTGAGATCGTTCACGACACGTGCGCCACCCAGCCCACGTGCTTTCTGAGCTGGAAAGAGAGTCACGCTCTTTGCTTCTCATTCAGGTGTAAACTAGAGAGGAGTATCTGCTCAGTCAATATGGCCGACTTCCACCTTCACCACGCCTCCACAACGGGTGACGTAAGGGCCTCTCTTTAGCTGTTCCCTTCCTCCATGGTCGTCTGCTACAGCGTCCGTCATTATGATGCCTTTTTCCGCGAGCCCCCTTTGGCCCCTATGGGCAGCCAACGGGTGTTGCGGGGCTGCATGCTGGGTTTGTTTGTCAAAACGTGTGCCACCTAAACAGCATCACATGAATACAAAGTTTCAGCCTCGGCCGCGTGCTAAACATAGATTTTATTCTCTAGTCTTTATTTTTAGAGCGATAATATAGCAGCTGGAGTTGATGCACTCGGAAAACTACCGTTTAAGCCACCGCGTTACCACTTTAAGGTAGCGCATTTTTGGGCTAGCCGATATTAATTTGCAATGGGTTAAGATGCTGAAAACACGCACCTAATTGTTTTCATTTGTTTTGTGCCTTCCACAAACATGTAAAAACAGTTTAGTAGGCCTGCCGACTGAAAACGAAATTGGCTCCGTATCTGCATGCTAATGTGCAGATGTCGTTGAAAGACGATAGTCTTGCGTGGGGAGAGAGTGAACAAAACCTTTATTTGATGTTCTGCGCAAAAAAATCCGTCAATTTAATTCTGAAGGCGCTGCGTTAGAGTGCCTCGAGCGTGCAGAGAAGGCAAATGAGCGCATCAAGTTACGTCACAAGTGAGACATGAGCGCCATCTGGCAGTTTTTTTCTGAAAATAAAACTCGTGGCTCGGAGACGGGCGTCCGCGCACGTCTCAGAGGGGATAAGATGTAGAACGCAAGGTGACGAGTAGGTGCCACCACCGTCTCGTCTTAGCAAAGTGTTGAAAATGCTCGCGTTTTCGTGCAAGCGTTGCATGGTCAGCGCAGCGTTATAAGCGCAACGGTTCTTAAAATTACTTATGTATGTCTTTTGTAGTAAAAGACGCACAGGCAGAATATATACGTGTTGTTTTGGTGCCCCAGGCATGTGCAATATTTGCTTTTTAATTGACAAATGCGCAAGCATGAATGCTAAACCTTGAGCAACATTGGCGGGCGCTGCGGGTGGGGTCGGGCATTTCAAGTACCCGGTGCGCGTAAGAGTGGACAAACAGACAAACGTGCATAGCGACCGACAGACAGACCAAACTTTTTGCGTCGAAGGTCCCCAAGAAAGACTATCGTCTTTAAATGAATACAAAAGTCATGTGCGTCGGGTAGGAGGCGCTCGCGCCGTTCGATGCATACGCTTTAGGCGAGGACACTTCTCCCTTTGCATGCAAGACGCATTCTACAGCAACATCGTGGTTCACAGAAAGTTGCATCTTTGGCCCACTAAAAACACAGCATACGTTGCTATAGCCACGATCACTGACTCTAAATATCAAAGTTGTGCTTCTTGCTTCAAAAATACAAAATTTAGAAACAGATGTCTCCTTCTGAGAAAATATAAATAGAGTGTATTATTTTTAGCATTCACTCGTAGGGCCTAGCTACCACATTATAAACATTGCATGCTACTCGTTGCTTTCAGTCTATGAAAAGGAAACAACATTTGTCGCACCCCAAATGACATGACGTTGACTCCTTTGAAAAATAGCCAATGCTACCATTACTGAAACCAAGATAGCTTGTCCTGTCGATAAAAAGTTTTACAGCTGACGAGTCCAACGTTTATAAGCCACACAAAATAAAACACTTCACGTGCTTTGATCGTGATTTGGCCTTCAGAAGAGAATCACCCCTTACAATGCCATGATAGCTTTGCGACATGAAATTGTCTCAACCGTAAGCTGGCATAGTTACCCATAATATCATCGTTGAACTTGGCTTGACTCTCAGAGAAGACATTGACGGCGAAAGCATCCAGTGGAACATGAGTCCTCAGCAGCCATCCGCCACAGACATGCTCGTAGAAATCTTCGCAAGGGTCCACCATAGGCAAAACAGTGTCCGAGAATCGAGACACTGCGATAGGTACAGATGAGCTACACAACAAGGCACAAGTTTAGTAAAAAAAAAAGCAAAATGGTGCTTTAGTATTGCATATGCAGCTGTTCAATCCTGAAATGATTGGTCGGCGCAAGCAAATTTGTAGTGATTTTCTTTAAGCCCAAAAGAAAGATAATGTACGAAGGCAGGGCATTATTACGTTAGTGCTAAGTGTGTTCAATGATGTACGAAGACAGGGCATTATCAAGTTAGTGTTAGGTACGTTGCACCATTTATAAGCCAAATTGAAATGATAGTTGTCGAATGAATTGCAGAATTCACTCACGCGCTGGTAGCCTTGCACTGACAAAGGTGTCACAGATGCGGATGGTTCTGTGTCCACTTTGTTGGACATTTGCAGAAATTGTACTGTATAGCGTACTCCATTCGCTTACCATAAAAATTTTTACGCTGATGCGCTTTTAGTGTAGGAAGATTTTAGACGCTGCCTTCATGTTCCACATGAAGTGAACATTTTCATTTACTCAGCGTGCCATTTTACTATATACGCGAAGTAACGAAGCATAGGACTTTATTCTAGTATATGAAAACAAGTAATGTCTTATGTCTATTTCGCTCAATTTCACCTCAACTTCGTTTAATATATACCATATAATATATGTAGTATATATTGCACCATATCGCTGACAATATAAAGGTACAACATAAATGAGAGGGTGGCAAGTATCATAATTAGGGTAATAAAAGGTACAAGATGAAGGTTGTACAGGCCACCGAACCTACATGATCATTCAGTTGAACGCTTACATGAAGACGTAGAGTCGGCAAATAATAAAGGAAACAAATAATATGCAAATCTGATGGGCCAATTCAATGCTAAAGTGGGGAAGAAACGGGCCAGAGACCACTCAGAAGGAAATTATGGCGTCGGCCCTAGAATTGCCAGTGAGCAGTTAATAGCAGGGTTCACAGAACGTAATTATTTACGAATCTCGAATACCTACTTCAGAAGACAGGCTAACCGCAAGTGAACGTGGTGAAGTCCTATTGGCGAAACTGAGAATTACATAGACCTCACTCTCTGTGCTCACGCAGGCATTGTTCAGGATGCAGATGTAGTTAGAAAGATCTGATGCAGTGACCATAGAATGGTAAGAGGACGTATTTGCCTAGCAATAAAAAATTCCGCCTGCATCTTCCCACTGGAAGAACTCGAGTAGATGCGTCGCAGAGTGCTTGGAATATCGCGTGAACGTTGCGTAATTTGGTATGGTTTGGGAATGCCTAATTGTTATTTCGTTTTTATTGTTCTAATTTATCAAATGAAAGAGAATCGTTGCCTTCAACGAGTGTTGGAACGCTAAGGTGCGGCAGTGCCTACATATACGAGGCGTTGCGCCCTGCTCCCAACGGGGCTGAAAAAATTAGGCGCCCTCTTTTAACCATCACCACTACCACATATACGAGGTGGCCCGCGAACAGTTGTGCAGATCGGGCAGTTGGTTTTTACAAGCAGACGCTGCCTACGTCGGCCTTGCAAAGCAAGGGAAGGGGAGGGCATAGAGTTTCCTAAATATACGCTACAGGGAACTTTGGCGCTAGTGTCTATGGGAGCTCCAACACAAGGGGCTTCTACGAGCATGGGAATGGTGGGTATTACACGGATTTGTCTAATCTTTGTACTTCCGGCTCCGTGTGTGTTCGTGTGGCTTGAACAGATACAGATAAGGCATATGTTTATACACAAGTAGCCAATTAAAGAGCTAGCGGTGGAAGGACAAGTACAGGAATTCACAGTTTTGCTTCAGAATCGATTCGAGGCTTTAAGTGAGGTAACTTACGATAGCGTTGACACTAGAGGGAAACTGGAAAACTATCTATGGTGACGAAAAATTTTATTAAGAGAGGGCAATCCATGCAAGCTTCAAAGACAACCAACGGTATAGAGCTAGCGGAACTTTCGTTAATCAATAGGCGCAAGGTAGCCGACATCAGAAGGCATAACATGGAGACAATTGAGCAGGCGAAAATTGGAAATATGCATTATCGTACAAGGAAGGCAATGACATAAAAAATATGGGTAAGATAAGGTAGGTGGTGTAGGAGTTTTACAGAGAGATGTACAGAAGCCGAAACAACTAAATAGACAAAAGAGAATCGGCAGAGCTTACGAAGTTGAATATTAGGCGTAAAGTATCTGATGTAAGAAGGTAACATGGAGAGAATCGAACATGCTCTGAAGAACGGAGGAAGCGTCAAAGCAGTGAAGAGTAACTTGGGATAGGCAAAAGCCACATGTATGCACTAAGGGACAAGAATTGATTGATTTGTGGGGTTTAACGTCCCAAAACCACGCTATGATTATGAGAGACGCCGTAGTGGAGGACTCCGGAAATTTCGACCACCTGGGGTTCTTTAACGTGCACCCAAATCTGAGCACACGGGCCTACAACATTTCCGCCTCCATCGGAAATGCAGAAGAGACAAGGAAGGCAAAGTAATTAGAGCACTGCCCGGGCCAATTTTACCGCCCCAAGCCGGCCCGGCCCGAAACCTCATGCTCCGGCCTGTCTGAGCCCGGCCCGGTGTTTTTAAATACGGCCCGTACCCGGACCGGGCCCGGAAGGTTTGTTCCGGGCGTGACTCGGCCCAGCCCATGTCAGCGGATTATGCCTAGAACATAAGCTAGGCACTGCCCAATATTCAGTAACTGGGAGGATACTCGGCGCAAACAAGATATTTTCTAGTCTGTCTAGAGAACTTCTTTGAGTGTCATGAATTTAACTGGTATATTCTGTGTACTTTCAGGTACGTACGCCCGTAAAACTTGCGGGAAACTATCGCAGGACAACTAAACTATACTTAACCTGTATCATGTACCTAGTTCCAACAACATAATCTTGTTTGTTTGTTTTTTTTTTCATTTCAGAGAATGGCTACGAAATGTACTACAGCCATAAATTGGAAAAAAGAAAAAGCGGCAGACATTTATAGTTTGAGTCTACATAATTTGCCTGCAAGCTGGGTTTGTCGAGTAAATGTAACAAGTCCCCTGTAAACGTCATTTATTACGCCATGCAATTAAGAAAACTACATTAGATCATTCGGAGAGGACTCCCAGGAGGCGGAAACTCCCTATACCTCCCAAGTATTCACTCTCGGCAGTGGCACAGCCGCTATTACCACTGGCGGTTGCCGGGCAGCCTAATAGAAATAAATCACGGGTAGGAAATTTCTTTTATCACGTCACTGGTGAGGTCCCCGAATAGAGGGAAAGGGCGAAATATTCAGAGGAGTAGGACTGCCGCAGAAGCCCTACTTTCCCCCTGCAGATGCATGCGCAATGCACTGGTCCGCTCGCTGCTTGTCCAATGTGGCCATAAAGTTTTAATCTTGTTTTAAACTTTGTTCGTGTTTTCTGAAGAGGCTGAAGTTAAGCTAAGGATTCCTCAGTAAGATGGAATTCGTTCGGCACAAATAAAACTAACTTTTTATTGCATGTTTGTAAAAAAACGACGACAGTCGTGCGTGTGGAGAGAGTGAACAAAACATTTATTTGATGTTTTGAGCAAGAAAATCGGTGAATGGTATTCCGAAGACGCTGCGTTAGAGTGCCTCGAGTGGGCAGCGGAGGCAAACGAGCGCATCAAGTTATGTCACAAGGAGCCGTGAGCGACATCAGGCAGTTTCTTTTGGAAAACAAAGCGCGTGGCCGTGCGCGCCCGTCACAGAGGTGATAAGGTGTAGAACAAGAGGCGACGGGTAAGTGCCACCACCATCTCGCCTTAGCGAAGCGTTGGAAACACTTCCCGTTCCGTGCAAGCGTTGCATGGTAAGCACAGCGTGATAAGCGCTACGGTCCTTAAAATTACTTATGTATGCGTTTTCTAGTAAGAGATGCCTATGAAGAATATATGTGTGTTGTTATGGTGTCCCAGACTTGCACAAAAAGTGATTTTTAATTCACAATTGCACAAGCATGAACGCTCAACCTTGAACAACATTGGTCGTCGCTGCGGCTGGGGTCGGCCGTTTCAAGTACCCGATGCCGGTAAGAGTGGGCAAACAGACAAATGTGCCGACAGACAGACCAAAAGTTTCGCGTTGACGGTCCGCAAGAAAGACTATCATCTTTAAAACAGACATACTTAGTGTGAAAGTGTCTAACTATAAAAGCAGCATACGGACATAATGAGCAAACGTTGAACCCCGAATACCTGAACCAATGAGAAAACTACGTATCAACAATCACGAGTACGAAACGTCATGTTTGGCTAAATTCACGTTTGTTATGACGGTGTGCATAGTTTCTTTGCAACTGTGCAGCTTGCGAAACTGTGGGACGCAAGCATGTTCGTACTCTGCAGACACCTAGGAAAGATAAACTAAGCACGTGCAACCTGTATATATTATTTTTTACAGGAGTAAGCGCTTGTGTTTCTAGTTTCGATGCGTCTTACTTATCCGTTAATATCCGAAAAACAGCAGAAATTGGGGGAAGAAATCAAAAGGGATGCGAAATTCTTGAACTCTGGTTGCCACAGGGGCCGTCGCTCGTTTATCCGGTAAAAGATGCCAATGCACCCGTGCCTATACACCCGCGCCCCCTGCTTCAAAGAGAAGAGCAGGAAATCATAATCATGGAATTGCTTATATGAAAATCTTACTTCCTCCGCTGGAGGCTTACACGTTTTTGAGCGCCATTAGTACACTTGCGCTGTGACATTTGAGAACGAGTATGAATTACTGTCAAATTACGGAAAGCACGGTGTCCGTAAATCAAGCCAATCAAATGTTCATCAATCAAGATGAACATTTCAGTTAAATCCTCGACATTTTTGGGTGATTGCCAAGGGCTAAATATTTGCAATTGCCTTGCTAGCACAAAAAAATGAGAACATTTTCATCGATTGGCGCACCTGTCATTAAAGTAACTTCGCATCTTGCAACTAAATTGCACCAACAACAGCTCCTGAGCTATTCATTACTCACGACTCACCTAGTGCACATGCGTA